TAACTGGTCATAGCGATTTCAGCTTCTCAAAGGAAGCTAAGTATCAGATATATGTAGAAATCCTTCAACTCAGTCACTTAAAAACCAGTCTATTCTGCAAGCTGCTCACAACATCTTTTCTTTTCCATTTATTGTGCAGCTCAGATTACACTAAAGAGTGGTGTGAAGGCCAGAGGAACATCACAATTTCACCCATATTTTCCAGCATCTGTAATTTTTCCACAGGTGTTGCTACAGGGGCAAAAAGGTTATGATCCTAAGGTTAAGTCAATGAGCATTTAGGTGTTAGTATAACAGAAGGTGCTTCAATAACCATGGTTTGCACATATGGTAAAGAACTGAATGGACACAACAGGCCCTTCATTTTACTTAGTGAATTCAGAAAGGAGGCAAAGCAGCACTGAAGCCTTCTGAAAAGTCTATTTAAATATGCAATCACCTGTCTCCTCTGACAATTTCTGAAATGAAATCAGTACTTTATGTCCCAAATTAAATCAAAACCTTTGCAATCAGTTAATCAAGGAATGCAGGACTCTCAGAGGACTAAATATATATTTATATTGTACAGGCAGTCCCCGGGTTACGTACAAGATAGGGACTGTAGGTTTGTTCTTAAGTTGAATCTGTATGTAAGTCGGAACTGGCGTCCAGATTCAGCCGCTGCTGAAACTGATCAGCTTCAACAGTGGCTGAATCTGGGCGCCAGTTCTGACTTACATACAAATTCAACTTAAGAACCCCAGGCATCCCCAAGTCAGCTGCTGCTGAAACTGATGAGCGCTGATTCCAGGAAGCCTGGGGCAGAGCAGCTGGGGTGCTGCTGGGTTGCTCCAGTAGCACCGCTCCTCGATTTCTATTTTGTTTTTCTCAGTCTTTTTCTTGTAACAGAGTGATTAGGCTGTATACCTGTGACTAGTTAAACAGTTAGCTGATCCTTATTTTTGTTGTAACTGTGAAGATGATTTCTGTGGGTTATAAAATAGATGCGTTATGTTGTAAAAATAGATTATTTGTTTCTTCCTCATAAGATTTGATAAATTGATTTAATTACATTCATTGATTTAGTTCCTTGTTGGGACTTGAATGTGGGGAGACTGACACTGTGGAATCCTTGCTGAAAATCCTTAGGGCCCCGGGGACTGAAGCCGCAGCAGCGGCGGGTTCCCGCGCTTCTGAGGCTTTGCCAGAGCAGACCACAGCAGACCACAGGCACCGGGAGCAAAGCCGCAGTAGCGGCGGGTTCCCGCGTTTCTGAGGCTTTGCTCTGGCAAAGCCTCAGAAGCGCGGGAACCCGCCCGGTGCCCCTGGTCTGCTGGAGACGGTCTCCAGCAGCCCAGGGGCACCGGAGCAGCTTACGAACGGGGCTTTCTCGCCCCGGAGCTCGCAGGTAGCAATCCGCTACCTTGACCTCCGGGGCGAGAAAGCCCCGTTCGTAAGTGCGGATCCGACATAAGTCGGATCTGCGTAAGTCGGGGACTGCCTGTACCACAAATGAGTTTCAAGATTTGGATGAGGACTACAAAACAAAAAGTCTTTGACTTCTTCCAGCTCAGAAATGGTTTTATATGATAAACCCATTTTTAAACTGTACAAATTTTAATGTGCTGTAGATCATAAAACTGATTGCCCCCCCCCCAAAAAAACCCCACCCTAACCCTAAAGAATACACATGGTGTAAGATGCAGCGTATAGTACCGACTCTTTTTTGAATCCTTCAGAACTCTGCAGTCTTTTAAAATGTTACAAGATATCTCCCCCGCCCCCTCCCCACACACACAATTGACCTTACTCCATCATCTGTTTGACATTCTATCTCTCATATATGCTTAATTGGCAGGGTGAAAGGCAAGTAAAGAAAAGCCACTTTGACATCCAACTTTCTCTGCAGTCAAGGACTTTCCAAGTAACTTGGTGCAGCATCACTGCATTCACTCTGGCACCAGAGTGTCAGCAATCTGCAATGTTACCAAGGTAAAATTTCAATGTCAGTAGAACTGTATGGAATCTAAGGGTACGTCTACACTGCATCCCTAGTTCGGACTAGGGATGCAAATGGAGATGACCGAAATAGTTAATGAAGCGGGGATCCTGCGCTTCATTAACATGATCTCGCCGGCGCGCTAGTTCGAATCAGAGCTGATTCGAACCAGTAAGTGCGCGCTGGGACGCGTTAGTTCGGACTAAAGCCTTTAGTTCGAACTAACGTTACTCCTTATTTTTTGGAGGAGTAACAGTAGTTCGAATTAAGAGTTTTAATTCAAACTACCTAGCCTGTGCTGCGTGTAGCCGTGGGCAGGTAGTTCAAACTACTGGGCATTTAAAAATGGCGGCGCCCGGGAACATGCAAATGAAGCCCGGGATATTTAAATCCCGGGCTTCATTTGCAAGTTCGAATGACTACATTAGCCACCCTAGTTCAGACCAGGGTGGCTAATGTAGACATTCCCTCACATGCTTGTATACGAATGAATGGTGAGTCCTGGTTTTCCTGTATCATATTGATTTTGTCATTTTAAGAAACAAAACAGATGACTTGACTGTTCATCTTGTTTTGTACAGATTCCTGATTTTTTATGAAGCCAACTAGTCCTTGCTTCAGGGGTAATCTTAAAAACTACCATGATTTTTGGGTCTTGGGCCCTATCAAACATCTCACAAATAAAAAATCCCAAAACCACTCATTCAATGAATGATTCATGGAGGAAGAATAGAGAAGTCATCGTCATCCCCAAGTAACAACTCTCTGATCTAAAGTTCTACTGTAAATTTCCAAGACAAGAAATAGAGGAGCAAGAACATTCCAGCGCCTGTGGGAAAGAATGTATAGTAGGTAGCAGTCTTAGTCTTTGCTAGGCCTTTTCCTAGCCCAGAAAGTGATTCAGATAAACATATTTGTGGCTAATAAAAATACAGTGGAAGAAGGGCTGAATATGGAATACTAGCTTCTAAAACAACATTGTTCTGGGAATGCTGAAATCCCTGTGCTATATAGCTCTACCCTTGAGAGGCGACACATATATTGACCTTTCATTCAAAATTGGGAAAACAGAGAACTAAAACTCTCTCGAAATTTCAATTACCTCTTATGCTATTTGAGGCATTCAAGATAACCTTGCAGCAAGTCCAAGATGATTTATGAATTGCTTAAATGACGATATAGTGGATGAATCTTTACTCACCTATTTAATTAAATCCCTTCTCCCTCATCTAACATTTGCATTTATGTAGGGCTTGGGGGGCAAGCTTTTTGGGGTACATTCTCTAATTTTGTATACCAAGGAATTAAACTGCTCCTTAAAAGAAAGACAAGCAGTCAGAAAGACAAAGTAAAAGGGGTTGTAAGGCTGGGGAAGCTGGGTGCAATCAGAATGAGTGGACATCTCGGCGTTGAGTGGACAGCTCCTCCACTAACACAGGGGAGCAGAGCCATTCTTAAAACAACAGGGCCCTACACAATGGAACCCCCCTCCCTACTGTGCAGTCAGGAGCCTGGGGCTTCTCTTCTTGTCTGTGCTCCAAGCTTCCCTACTACACATACCTCTCCAGCAACTTCTAGTGGCACTTGGTGGCTACCCTGGGGCTGGAGCAGAACCGCAGAGGCTGGGAGCTCCTCTCTGCAGCCAGTCTGCCAGCAGGGAGCCATCATTAAGCCTCCTGCTGTGGGCCAAGAGGAGCATGTGGGGGGGAAGGGCGAAGCCTTGTAGACAATAGGAGAGAGCAGAGGCGGGGAGGGGCTAGAGAGGAATTAACAGAGACATGCCCTCAGACATACAAGAACACATGGCTGCATAGAATCAGCTTAACATTTGGTGTCCCAAATTTTCAGGTGCCCTACTCTGCCACATATTTCACATATGCTTATAGATGGCTCTGCATGGGAGACAGGGTAGAAAAGGATAGATGGAAAGAGATGCTTACAGAATTCTCCATATCATTTATAATTTCTTTCTACTGAGACTTTCTAAAAAAAGTTCTGAAAGCTTTGGAAAGCCCTTTCAATGCATGGTCCAGAGCTAAGCAATTCAGGAACATGCATCTGAGAGAAGTATTTAATTTGAAAGGTGTCTTGTTTCATAACAGAAGGAGATTTGCAACTGTGCTCTGAGAGCAACTAGAGGCTCCCAGGCAATAAGAAAGCAGTGGATACCTGATGTTTATTAAAACTCATTCAGTTAACTGAGAGCTAATCCTTAAACTGATGAACTAACGTGCTCTTCACAATGAGCAATTTCTATACACATGGGCTGTGTCTAGACTGGCAAGTTTTTCCGCAAAATCATCTGCTTTGGCGGAAAAACTTGCCAGCTGTCTACACTGGCCAATTTCCGCAAAAGCACTGATGATCTCATGTAAGATTGTCAGTGCTTTTGCAGAAATACTATGCTGCTCCCGTTTGGGCAAAAGTCTTTTTCCGAAAAACTTTTGCGCAAAAGGGCCAGTGTAGACAGCAGAGATTTGTTTTCCACAAAAAAGCCCCGATCGCGAAAATGGCCATCAGGGCTTTTTTGCGGAAAAGCACGTCTAGATTGGCCACGGACACTTTTCCGCAAAAAGTGCTTTTGCGGAAAAGCGTCCTGCCAATCTAAAAAGCATTTTCGGAAAAGCGCGTCAACGGAAAATTTTTCCGTTAAAAGCATTTCCAGAAAATCATGCCAGTGTAGACGTAGCCCTGAAGCTTACTCATTTAAGAGATAATCACTGTACTAGGATTCTCTTATGTAAAAATTACCACAACAGAAGTTGGCTAAAAATACTCAGACTAGCTTCGGGGGGGGAGGGGAGGAGGTAGGAGGTAGGAGGAGAGTCCATTCCATGCTTTAATGTGTAAGAGGCCTGAGAATACAAAGTCCCACTTGCACTACAGTATTTTGCAGCATGCTAACACATAATCAGAACAACTCTAACACTGCAGTGTCAACTGTTGATGGCAATATAAAATTAAATCCACATAGTAATGGGATCATAGGACACCTTAATAGTTCCCTCTCCATGCCTCTTACCTTTAGCTGCCTTGATTAGGTATCCGCACCCTTTGTTTGGTGGCACAGCCAGCAGCTGCATGACTCTATCCAGCAATCCATGTATGACCTCAAACCCAGGATTCTTGTTGTAGTAAATGGCGCAGAGATGCCTCTGGTTCCTGGCACCTACATCTGCAGAAGAAACAAACAGTTGCACTTTCCGGGTTTTGTTATGTGTTTATCCTTCCCTTTCACATCAGTTTTCAGTTGTGCATGAAGACATCTGTACCTCAGGGGGAAACTGAGATTGCAGAATGGCCTCTGCCAGAGACAGCCATCCCACACAGTGGGGAGATGATTATAGGCACTGGCCATGCTTTAGCCCAGAGGTCTCCCATTATTTGGAAAATCATAAAGCACAGATTTTAAATACTGTGCTTTATTAGGAAGGAGATGGAAAAGGACTGTGGTAAAGAGAAATATCTTGCAAAATAAACATCAGCAACAGAAATCAGAATGTTTCCAACAAATTATTAAAAGGTTAAGGGAATGAAAAAAGAGATGAAACAAAATATGTATATTCAATAAGACCTTGATGCTTAGAATCTATTATTTTTAACATTTGCAATTTAAGATTGGTAGTGAAAGTAGATATTTATGAAACAGGGAAACAGAGCCTTGTACCAATACACAGCTAGCTCACTTCTGCAAATAGCCAAATATAGTTATACTCTTGTGGATGTTTGGGAGGGCAGGAGGAGGGAAGGGAGCTATGTGAAGAGAGGTGTTGGCCTAAGTCTAATTCCAAGCACACAGGTTTCCACACACAGGCTGTGTCTAGACTGCAGGGTTTTTCCGAAAAAAGTACCCTTTTTTCCAAAAAAACTTCACCTGCGTCTAGACTACAGCCATGTTCTTTCGAAATTAAATCGAAAGAACGCAGCTTTTCTTTCGATGGCGGTACTCCTCAATTCATGAGGAATAACGCCTTTTTTCGAAAGTGCTCTTTAGAAAAAAGGTGCTATGTAATGCAAACTGTGCTTTTTCGAAAGAGAGCATCCAGACTGCCTGGGTGTTCTCTGTTGAAAAAGCCTCTTTCGAAAGAGGCTTGCAGTCTAGACGTAGCCCCACAGAAGCCATCCACGCAGCTGAAAACTTCCGTGGTAGTCTGAGAAGTGCCTAAGATCATAGAGCTGGAAGAGACCTCAGGAAGTCATCAAGTCCAGCCCCCTGCCCAAGGCAGGACCAATCCCAACTAAATCAACCCAGCCAGGGTTTTATCAAGCTGAAATTTAAAAACCTCTAGGGATGGAGATTCCACCACCTCCCAAGGTAACCTTTTCCAGTGCTTCACCACACTCCTAGTGAAATAATTTTTCCTAATATCCAACCTACACCTCTCCCACTGTAACTTGAGACCATTGCTCCTTGTTCTGCCATCTGTCACTACTATGAACAGCCTTTCTCCATCCTCTTTGGAACCTCCCTTCAGTAAGATGAAGGCTGCTATCAAATCCCCTCTCACTCTTCTCTTCTTCAGACTAAACAAACCCAAATCACTCACTCTCTCCTCATAGGTCATGCGCTCCAGCCCCCTAATCATTTTGGTCACCCTTCGCTGGACCCTCTCCAATGCATCCACATCCTTTCTAGAGTGGGGGGCCCAGAACTAAACACAATATTCCAGATGTGGCCTCACCAGAGCTGAATGAAGGGGAATAATCACTTATCTGGATCTGCTGGCAATGCTCCTCCTAGTGCACCCTAATATGCCATTAGCCTTGTTGGCTAAAAGGGCACACTGTTGACTTATATCCAGCTTTACATCCACTGTAATCCCCAGGTCCTACTTAGCCATTCAGTCCCCAGCCTGTAACAATGCTTTGGATCCTTCCATCCCAAGCGCAGGACTCTACACTTGTCCTTGTTTAACCTCATTAGATTTCTTTTGGCCCAATCCTCAAATCTGTCCAGGTCACTCTGGATCCTCTCCCTGCCCTCCAGCGTATCTAACTCTCCCCCTAGCTTAGTGTCATCTGCAAACTTGCTGAGGCTGCAATCCATCCCCTCATCCAGGTCATTAATAAAGATGTTGAACAAAACCGGTTCAAGAACAGAACCTTGAGGCACTCCGCTAGAAACTGACATCGAGCCGTTGATCATTAGCCATTGGGCCCGACAGTCTAGCTAGCTTTCTATCCATCTTACAGTTCACATATCCAATCCATATTCCCTTAACTTGCTGGCAAGAATAATGTGGGAGACCATACCAAAAGCTTTGCAAAAGTCAAGGTATCTCACATCCATTGACAATCCCATATCCACAGAGCCAGTTACCTTATCATAGAAGCTAATCAGATTGGTCAGGTATGACTTGCCCATGGTGAATCCATTTTGACTATTCCTGATCACTTCCCCCTCTTCCAAGTGCTTCAACATGGATTCCTTGAGCATCCCCTCCATGATTTTTCTGGGCAGTGTAGTAAGGCTGACTGGTCTGTAATTCCCTGAATTGTCCTTCTTCCCTTTTTTAAAATGGGCACTACATTTGCCTTTTTCCAATCATCCAGGATCTCTCCCGATCTCCACAAGTTTTCAAAAGGTAATGGCCAAAGGCTCCACAATGACATTTGCCAACTCCCTCAGTACCTTTGGATGCATTAAATCTGGGCCCATGGATCTGTGTATGTTTAGGTTTTCTAAATAGTTCCTAACTTGTTCTTTCCCCACCAAGGGCTGTCTACCTCCTTCCCATAATACAAATGAGAATGCACTGTATTTTCACATCAGCTTTCCAAGAGGAGTGAAATATTGGTGGAGCAGACTGGCTATAGTCATGTGTGCTGCACCTGTTATGTGGATACCAGATTTTAAAACTGGCAAATTACACATTTGAGCTTGTATGAGGGGTTTTTAAAAAGTTTTGTAATTTCCAAAATTACCACGTATCCTGTGTTCACACAAAGTGCCAAAACAATCATCAGTCTTCCTTTACTTTAAATTAGTTTTGATTAGTCCATGTCACATGGATACATTTTAGACATACACAAGTATTACAGTATTATAATATTTCTCCACATCTCCAGACTAGACTACATTCTGCCTGGCTCTGTCAAAGTTTATTCAGAAGATTCAACTAATGAAGAATTCTGCTTTTAATTTTTTGAGAGGAAAAGGGTAATATGTGTCTTATCTGTCAATTCACATCTGATGAAATTCAAAGTGCTGCTTTATGGCGCATTCAGCAAAAACCCTTGGGCTGAGTGTGCCAAGGGTGGGTTTTGCAGGATTGGCTATGCCAGTGGTGGGCCTTAGAAGAGCTCTCTGTCACTGGTCTAACTACTGCTTAATTTTATCTAACTTACATTGCTCAGGGAGCGAAAAAGACACCTCTCTGTGAGATACAAGTTACAGAGACTTAACTGTTGTCCATAACAGTTCTACATCAATGGGAGACGCTCTCCCCTCAACACAGGTTCCACCTCTTGCAGGAGGTGGAGTAATTATGCTGTCACAAGTGAGTTTTCTTGGTAGCATAGTGTGTATTCATCAGGCACGGCACAGCACTGAAGTGCAGACTAGCCTTCAATGGCATACTCTTTCTTTTATAATAGAATTTGCTCTCAGCAAAATACCAGCCAGAGCCTGATCATTTGTCCAACACCACACAAGATGTATGGATTTTTTCAAATTGTACATTTAGTTTACTGGTAAGGTTTTGCTCTCTGCCCTCCCTGCTGACCATCTATTCTTCTTTGAAGGGGGAAGAGGGTTACCTTTATGCACCTCCTTTTGGAGAAAATACATTCATGAGCCATGTTTTTATAAGCCCCCCAAATTAAAGTTACAGTTATTTTTAAAGATAAGACTCATTTTACTACAAAATAAGTGCACGCTCAGCTCCACTCCTGGGGAGGCCCAGGCCACCCCCCTGCTGCTGCATCTGTATCAGAAATGAAAGACGCGAGGGGAAAAGCATATATAGTAGGGATGTGAACGTACAGTCAACTATATGATTAAAAACTGGAGTGGAACGGCAGCAGCAGCCAGGCAGCAGCTTACTGTGCACAGAGCCTGTGCCAGCATCCATGGAGCAGCCTCTTTCCGCTGTGAGCCTGGGCCTGCTCCTGTTTTCTGGCAGCCTCTCCTGCCCTGGAGGGCAGAGGTAGGCAGGCTGTTTGCTTGTGGGGAGCCGTCTTTTAAGCTGGCTCCCCGCTGAGCACCAGTTCCTGCCTGCTCCCCCTACCTTTGTGGGAGGCAGCAAGTGAGGAGGGGCACATGCACACAGCCAGCTTCCCATGTGTACCAGCTCCGTCCTGGGGCTGAGGGGGGACAGGAAGCTCCACGGGATCCGGTGCTCGTGGGGAGCTGGCTTAAAAGCCTCTCCTTGCTTGCTGCCTCTGTATGGGGGGGGAAGAAATGCATGCAGTCAATAGGATTAACTGATAAGCTCAGGGTTATTCACGTCCCTACTATATATGCTTTTCCCCTCATGCCTTTCATTCAACATCCACATGTAGCCAATGGGAGAGATCACTTGTGCACCACTCTCTGCGATGGCGGTCATTCAAATGCCAGGTGCAATCTTACAGAGATTTGGAACAGCAATTTGGAATCCCTGTCAGAGTTAGGGCTGGACCTTTGCTCCAAAAATAATTGGTCAATTCAGCACATTTGGTCAAATAATGTCAAAAATGGTCAAATGTGTTTTTTAAAAAACAAAATTTATTAAACAGTAACCATAGTAACAAACAGACTAATCCTTTGTGATCTCCTGAGAAGTAAGGTAAATACTCATTTCCAATTACAAAAACTAAATTACTTAAATGAGTTATTTTAACTCTGAAAAATGTTCGTTGAATAATTATCTTTTTAGCAATGTTAGGTTAGCATTTTAAATGTTAATGTTATTCAAGGCTGAAGAGTTAAAAAATTAAACAAATAAAAGAAACCCATAGCAACTATAAAAGAAAAATGTTATTTTTAAATCCACTTATGCTAGGTAGGCAGCAGGCCAACTCTTCAAGCATCCTGCTTTTTATTATCTCCCTTTTCTTTATCAGCTTCAACTGCTTCATTTATCTCTTTGCACTGATAGCTTGGTTCACAAATAAAGACATATACAGTGTTTGGCTGATATCTTCTAGGACAATTGAGATGCTCAACTTTCAATTAGTTTATTTTTTTGCAAT